AATTTGGGGATTTTTTTGTATTTCGTATGCTATTTTCATATGCTATGCTATTTTCTGCCTTTCGTTTCTGCCAATTCATATGCTATTTTCTGTATTTCGTTTCTGCCTTCTAGTTTTCATAATTTCATTTGCTATTTCGTTGATATGGGTTTGATTGATGAATATTATAGATCTTAGAGATAATTTATTTACATTGTTATGTTTAATATATGCTAATTTTTAATTCAATCGTGAAAATTTGGCCTTTAATTATTCTGTGTTTGAAGCATGATTTTGAGTTAAGTGATGTTTGGCGAACACTCTTTGATAATTTTATTTGTATAATTTTGAGTTCAGTGATGGTTTTGTATTGCTGATTAATTATATATAAAAAATTGAAATTAATCCTGTGACATGAATCTACTACACAATTTAACTCTAACTAAGCTACATTGAATTGAACATTTTTATTGTCGGCACATAAGAATTCTGTCAAGCCATAGCTAACGACAGTAATCTGCTACAATAATCTAAGTGAGCAATCAGAATGAGAAAAGCTTCGATAGTGAAACGATAATATTTAGCTACTTGAACTTAATATCCCTATTTGGTTAGTTTGGCAACTTATCAAATGAGAAATAAATGTAAGGTGGGATGTTGATCCATGTATTGGGTTAAGTCCTTAAGCTCTAGCGATGCGTGAAAGGATACAATGAAATATCATGGCCATTATCATTATTTTTCCGTCATTAAGTTAATATGTGCTGATTGTTGGCCTCTTTGACTAGTTGAATCCATATTTTAACTCTATAACAATGATAGTATGTAGCTTATTCAGTTTAAATAGTATATGTGCAATGTAATGCTTACTTGCTAATTAGAATATTGTAGCTTTTTTTTTAATGTTAACTTGTAATTTATTTAATGTGTTGCTTCTCTGCCATTGTATTAGCTTGATCAGATTTTATCGGTTATAGCTTTTTTTTTTTTTTTTTTTCATTTTTCTATGTGTAATCTATTTGTAATCCATAGTTTGAAATTATTTATGTACTGAATATTTAATTATTGTATTTTTATTCCTTTGTTAATTATGATTTCAAATTTCGGAAGTTTCGAACCCACACTTCGAAAATCCTGGTGACGCCACTGATAGGAGGACGAAAATACAGGAAGGATTTAAATTAATATTCAAATATAAAAATAACATTATAAAGATTAATTAATTAAGGTTTATGCCATATGCAAGCCATGGATAGTGCCTGTCAAGTGCAATGCCTTTAATCTAATAATATGAACCTTATATTAATTTAGGATTAATACTGTTTTTTAATCCTAACTTTGCCCAATTTAATTTAAATAATCCCAACTTTCGATTATTCTGCAATAATCCCAACTTTCACATGCGTTTTCTTTCTTCAATCCCAAACTGGTCAACGAAAGTCAATTACCTCTTATTCTAGGTCCCTTGACACGTGTCAAGTTGTAATTGGTTCAAAAAATTAAAAAAAAAATATTTAAAAAACCCAACAAAGCCACCACCAGCCCACCAGCCAAAAACCGCTGGCGGTGGCCACTCACCCAAAACCACCATCTCTGTAGCCCCAGCCCCCAAAACCTCCTCAGGTTCGCTCTACCCCCGCGAAAACGGCCCACTCTGCCTTCCCCCATCCCCTGAACTAGACATAGCCAAAACCCTTGCCTTGGAACCGCCACCCATAAAACTCGAAACCACCATAACCAAAGCCCACCACCTTGAAACACCCACCCATAATCCTCAATACCACCTGTAACAACAACCCTGACCTTCGAAATCAATTCTCCAACCCCCAAAACCACCAAACATGCAGCCCCCTCACTTTTTTTCTCCTCCAATTGCAGGAAAACGCAAACGATGGTAAGTTGAGGGGTGGCCGATTGTGGGTTGTTGGTGGTGGTTGGTTGAGGGGGTGGCTTTGTTGTGTGGGTCGCAAATGATGGTCGGATTCAGGGGTGGTGGTTTCGGGGTTTCAAGGGTGGTGGCAGCTAACTGAGGGGACGGAGGTGGGCGATTCTGGTTTTGGTGAGGGTGGGCGGTGGCTAGATGGTTTTGGTGAGGATGGATGGTGGCTAGCTAGGGTAAAATGGTGGTGGTTGCCATGGCAGCTAATAGCCATGGATGAACAACAAAGGGGAGGAGAGAGAAAATGGGTATTTGGGTTTTTATTTTTTATTTTTGTGAACCAATTAGCATGCAACACGTATTAAATAAATGGTTTAAATTTTTTTTAACCCTTTCTTCAAGTAATCGGTAATCCGGACCGAAGAAAGAAAATACACCCTAAAGTTGAGATTATTGCAGAATAATCGAAAGTTGGGATGATTTAAAATAAATTGGTCAAAGTTGGGATTAGAAAACAGTATTAATCCATTAATTTACTACTCGTATTTATTAAGCAATGTTGTTTGAGAAGGAGAGTGGTCCAATATAAGAGGGAAGGAGTACATTTTGAGAAAAATTGAGGTTACTGACCCACATCTGACAAGATATATCATTTCAGAAAAAAAAAAATCAAGTTTACCATGGAAGACAAATGCGTAGTAATTTTTTTTTATTTTTTGAAAAAAAAATAAATTCTTAAATGAGACTTTGGAAATGACAAATATTTTGAATTTCAAATGTTAGGTTATCAGAAATTTCATTTAAATTCAAATGAAATTTTAAAATGAATGGAATTTGGGGCCCAATTCAACAACCAATAAAAAGAAGCCATATTAAATTGTATGTAGGCTTCACATATAATGATTGTATGTGTAACCTTTCTCTTTAATTAATCATGAACATATGCTATCTATCTACATCAATCCAATAAGAGAATGCCATTACGAAAAGCAACTACATCAACAGAAAGAACCACGAAGCCTCAATTTTTAGTTTGTAACAAGTATAGTAATTAAGATTGTACTTTTGTTGTAATTTTTACTATAAGCAAGGTATGGTGTTAGTTGGTAAATAAAAGTTGTAGAATCCAAGAAATAATAATAATACTTTTAAGTGAAGGAGAATATACTACTTGTATATGATTGTAGATCTCAAAATACTTGTATAGGAATTGTGCCATGGTAATATGGATTGATCGGAGTTCACTGTCTTGAAAACAAAATTTATTAGTTACCGCTACTTGTGTATATGGCTTCTGGTGACGATTGCCACCCCAAGGTCAACACGACATCCTTCAAATTCATGAACTAGAATCTTACTCGAAGGGTTTTTAATTTGTTCATGTGTTTAGGTCTTGATATTTCAAAAAAAAAAAAAAAAGGAGTGGAGGCTAAATGTAGAAGATAAGCCAACAAAATAAACAAATTAAAATTCACGTGTCATGTCAAAAGGCCATCAAGTTTGTCTAATCGTATGCAGCTCGCTTGACCTAATTGGCTACAAACCCGCAGTCGTCATATTAGGCGGACATAGGTAGAAAATACTCCTTATATTCTCTGTGCAAAGACCACTATCAGCAGTGAGGGAAAAAAAAAACTCCTCAATCTCTCTCTACCCACTTTCTCACTCCTCCAACCCAATTTCCCTCATCAAATGATTTTTTCACCACACCAATGAGGAAAAAAAAAAAAAAACTCCTCAATCTCTCTCTACCCACTTTCTCACTCCTCCACTATACCCCACCATAATACACATCATCTTTTTATTTTATCTTTATTTTGAAATATTGTTTATACTACATAATTAATTTTCCAATACAATTAAAATATGTAAAAATAATTTATTTTTTAATTACGTTTAAAAATAATTTAATAAAAATATGTAAAAATAATTTTTTTTTTGTAAGAAATAATTATAATAATAAGAAGAAGAAGAAATTGAGAGAATATGTTAATTTCTCTAATTTATGAGATTTTTTTAAATTATATCAAAATATATCAAAATGCATGTCTATTTATAGAGAAAAAAATTTTATGACCGTTGGTGTATTTTTTTTTTTTTAAAAATATTTACAAAATATAACCATTGTAAAAAAGGTACAAAAATTCTGATTGGCTGAAGCACTGACACGTGTCACCCTCCCATTGGCTGGGCTGACGCGCGTCAGTGCCAGCCATTTAATTTTTTTTTTTGCTTTGTGTACTGTTCATTGCTACCAGAAAAAAAAAAAGAAAATGTATTGCTTGTGGGCCCCACGCGTGCACTGTTCATTTAGAAAAACCCTCAACTCTTGAGGGTTTTTTTTTTCCCTCACGGTTGAGGGTTTTTTCCCTCACTGCCGTGGTGCTCGGTTTTTTTTTTACACTCTTATTTTTACTCGTGAGGGTTTTTTTCCTCACTGCTGGTAGTGCTCAAACACCTTTGTCTTATCTCATAGGGCGAACAAAGAACAATCCAATTACATTACTTATATTTCAAACAACGTTCAATTCATCGATAAAAGGTGTATGCAACGTGTAATTCTTATAATTATGTTGTAGCACAACCAATTATATTATAACCAATTTCAAAGGATATTATCATTTGGGAGAATTAATTTATTATTATGATCTATGAGAGTTACATTTTCTTTAGGTTACTACGTACATATGAGCCCCATGAAATTTAATGGTCTTGAAGTTAGCGAAACCACGGCTCTACTAGACCACCACCTTAACCTCTAGGCCCGAAAATAGCTACATGCCTACATGATAAGGGGAAAGTTGTATACCTATAGAGTACTCCGCGCGAATCTTAAATATACCCCGTAGTTTTTCCTAGCTTTGTGAGTAATTATCAATTCTAAAACAATTCAATAAACAAAAGTATTATAATCCTTTATGAGTGATCATACCATCATTAACAATGTACTTAAATCATATACTCAAGCCACTGAGCCAGATAGTTGTTTCTTAAAGCAAACTTTTTATTTATTTTTTATTTTTCTAATAGACCGAGTACGTACATTATTAAGCTTCTCTTAATCATAACAAACCATCTTCCAAAAAAAAAAAAAAAAAAAAACCCAAAAAAAAAAGGTAGCAATGTATGAAATCCATTTTTATTAATGTCCTAACACATCATTTGTTGCATCCAACGCAAACTCGTTTTCTTGACCTTCCATAGCATGGCAAGCTTTACATGTCGCCACAACTGACCTCAATATTTTGTACAAAAAACTTCCATTATTATTATCACCACCACGCTTCTCTTTACTCCCGACATCCCTCATCATCCTCGGACTCGTACCGGTCCCACCGCCATTTTCTCTCCTCCCTCGCCGCGACTGGCTTGGCCCTAGCACGGGCACTGCCGTAATGAACTGCCATCTTTGTGACGACCCTGACGCACCAAACTTGTAATACTTTCCTAGGGGAGAATTTGAAACGGTTTTTTCCTTTACACTATGCATTCTTTTTGGAAATGTTTTCCTCTCCGGAGTAACGTCGCTGGAGCTAATCCTAGCATTACTGGTGCATGTGCTACACGTGCTGCCTCTGCTACTGTTGGTGCTATTACTTCTAGACGACACCAGTGAGTAATCTTTGCTACTATACTGGCTACTACCACAACTGCCACTCCTGTTACTCCCCGCGCTAGTCCCCCTAGACAGGGTGACACTAGCACCCGGGCCCATATTCTCTCGTCCAGAGAATGAGGCCCGGGTGCTACTACTCATCGTTTGCACGACAGGGAAGTCGTGCGGGAGGAGACGACCGTTTAGGAAGAATTGATCAGCTGGTGAAGTAGTAGAGAAGTCATCAACTAAATTGTTTTTGGTCACGTCACTAGAGGACATGGTAGGAGAATCCGGTGTAACACACGAGCCAAACTCGAATTCGGATGGATCGTCGGTCGGTGTCCCTGGGAAGGAGAACATTTCAGGTGAAGGGGAGGTTGGGGTGTCAATGTGGTGGTGAACTATTTGATCAAGCCTAGGAGACTCCATGCTTGTTTTTTTCTTTTTCTTTTTCTTTTTCTTTTGTGTGTGTATTTGTTTATTTTTGTGTGACTTACCAAGTGAAGTGTGTTATATTTATATGAACCAAGTTGGTCGGTTTTTTTAATTAAAATAGGAAATGATTTATGAGTGGAACCGGGGAACAGGGAAAAAAAGAAGATAGGCCCAATGTTGGGCCGGTTTATAAAGGTAAAAAATGGGTCCAAGAAAATCATACCGGTCTTACTTGCCAACTCATTGGCTCAACTTCAATAAAACGCCAACGTTTCGCTTTTTTTCCATTCCCGCTCTACATTTAAAAACTAATAATAACAATAATAAAAACTTTTGACTATAATTATTTTGATCAAATGTATTAAGTGTGTTTTACAATCCTAGAAGTGTATTTTTTAGATTAAAATTAGCGATTTTTTTATTCATAATGCTGCTTGATCGTTATTTGAAGTAATTTACAATTAAATTGAATTGTCGTCCTAAAAATTTAATAATATGATACATGCACAACCTTTTGTTGAAAACATAGAGCTCATAAGATTATTAATAGTTTAAAATTTAGTGCACAATATCAAAGGGAAGAAAAAGTCCATCCAAGAAATTGTAATCCCAACAATTTAAGGGAAATTTGTTCAAAAATCCCTCAATAAGGACTAATTTTCTCAAAAACACCCCTAACTACAATAATTCTCATAATCTAACACTCTACTATCTCCTCAATGATACCCATTACTCCATTCAATATAATCTGATAAATATATATCAAAGCAATGTTGGTTTTATCTTAATTATTAGATACAATAAGTATTATTAATTAACATTAAAATAAATAAGTAGCCCACTTTTTTTTTTTTTTTTTTTTTTTTTTTTTTTTTTTTTTAAAATAAAATAAAAAACCTTAAGAATACAATCAGGCAAAGAATTCTTGTACAATAATCTTGTTTGGTGGCTCCTCTTAGTAACTTGCAATTCATGCATTGTGTACCACTGGTAGTAGCAAGGTACCACAAGTGGCATCTTTGTAAATATCTATAACTTTAAGGCTAATTTATTACAAGTCTACAGCTAATCAAATTAACAATTTCCTGACAGAATACATTAATGACAACAATATTTAATCTGAAATTTTCCATAAAATTTCAAATTATCCAACAATGGCAAAATTAGTTGCAAAGTTACCATTATTTACTTAATCAGATTTAATTACGAAACAAATTCAAATCTCTCTCCTCCTCTTCTTCAACATATCATCACTTATTTTCTCTCTCCTTTTCTTCATGATCTTACTTATATTCTCTTTGCTCCTCTTCATCATTTTCAGTTGTAACTATCAATCTAAGTGTTTTTGGAGACATACTCGTGTTAGGGTAAGGTATCAAGATGTCCTAGAATCTAAGTCCAATTATTGTCCTTGCTGAGGTATGTCCGAGGGCTCCGCCTTGATGTCTGAGGGCTCGACCTGCAAAACAGAGAAAGTTAGCTGCCCTAGGGGTGTGACCCGAGAAAGCCCCTCCGATACTTAAGTCAACGAATGTACTTTTTAGAGAGAGAAAGTAGAGAGAGAGAGAGAGAGTTCTTAGACAGAGAAAGTAGAGAGGGAAGGAGAGAGAATCAGAAAAATTCCTATCATTAATGATTAGAGAGCTATTTATAGTTGTACTTTCAGGTTGCAAAGTTGTACTTTGTTAGACAAATTAGGGGCAAATCTGTACTTTCCAATGAGTAATGATGGGCTGGATCATGGACTATGCCCAAACATTTAGCCCCATGCGTGATATGTGAACGAGATTGCATGAAGTTCGGATGTCACGCAGAATGAGTGTGAGAAGTTATTATGTGAGCCGGAATAGCTTTTCAGGCGTACCCGAGGGCTAAAATGAGCCTTAAGTGTACCCAAGGGCTAAAACGAGCCTTAAGTGACTTGCAAGGGTGAAGACCAGCCCCCAAATAATGCTTAATAGGTGTTTTAATTTCCATAACTGAGCTATTTTGAGAAATTGTTATTGGTAATGGAGGCCGCTTGTGGACAGCTTGATGACTTGTTAAATCTTTATAATTTTCTAAGGGCCGAGCCCCTACATATTGCTCAAGGCATGACTTGTCTTGATTCTTGGCTAAGCTTTTATTAAGATATAGTTGATGATAGTTGAACCCTAATTAGCTTGTAATTAAGCTTAATCCTCCATTAGTGACATTCTGGGCTCAGTTAACACTTGAGCCCATTTGAGCCAGGGTTTTGAGGGGATACCTCTTGTAGGGAATTTTTCAAACTCAACCTTTTGAGCCCCACTGTATTCATGCTTTTAGGCATGGCGACGCTCCAAGGGAAGGAAGCTAGAGATAGAAGAGTCGCCAACGAGTTTTAAGAACTTGTAAACCGTTCACGGGTGTGATGGTTACACCCCACTCACAATCACGGAGATCGCTAACTCCATAGTGGTCCGGAACCATGACTGGATGTTCAGGGATGATGGTACGAATCCAACCTAAAAGAGATTGAACCCTCCCTAAATTGGCCTCTACTTAATTCTTATGATATTCATGTGCGCTTTCTGATCAACATACATACATCAAATTAATCCTAAGCATATTTAATCTATGTTGGTTGATTATTAATGCACAATAAAATCTATTATTTGGTGATCACTTGAATTAAATCATATTAAGTCTAAATCAAATTATTAATTATCTTATTAGGCGTGATTTCAAGTACAAATTCCCTTTAAACCTGCAAAAAGTGGCGTGATCAAGCAATAGCAATAAACCATGAATAATCAAGCAACATATGATTAATTGACACAACAATCATCATCATAATTATATCATCGAAACATGGTTAGTAGGATCCTAGGCATAATACTAAACGGATTAATAACAAATCCTAGCATGTCACTAATAACAAAATCAAAGCGTTATCCTAAATATAATACTAGAAATCATAAAAAAAACATCCTAAACATGATACTAGAAATTATAAAAAACATCCTAACATGATACTAGGAATTAAAACAATATTTTAAACATGATTTCTACTCCAAAATCAAAAGAATAATTGAAGAGATAATTGAATTACTCACTTTGATGCCTCAACGTTCTTTTTATTAAAACAATAAAAACATCCTAAACATGATACTAGAAATTATAAAAAACATCCTAACATGATACTAGCTAGGAATTAAAACAATATTTTAAACATGATTTCTACTCCAAAATCAAAAGAATAATTGAAGAGATAATTGAATTACTCACTTTGATTCCTCAACGTTCTTTTTATTAAAACAATACACACGTTAGTAACTTCAAGAAAGCTAAGTCAATAAAGTAAATAAATCAAATGCGAATTGAAATATAGATTTGGGACCAAACCCTCAGTACTATCAACCTTCAGGTCGAGGTTGAAGGCAACGTCGAAGATGGCTAGAATTATTCAAATCTCGTGAATGAGGAATGGTCGATGATTTTGATGAGTATCAAGTATGTGCTTAGGGTGTGCTAAGGCTAAGAACATGGGAGAAGAGAGAGATGATTAAGAATATTAGGGGTAATGATGATGATTATTGGTGATTTAAAACAGTGGAAACAAGCTCTATTTATAGGAAAAAAGGGTTGAAGCAATCAGAAATACTTTGAATTCGAATCGGAATAAAACTCTTTTTATAGCGGCGTGATGGTCAACAGTTTTTGCGATTTTTGTTTTTATTGTAACTTTTGATCCGGAAATCGGAATAAGATAAATAATATATCGTTGGAAAGCTCTGGAAGTCTACTTTCCAAACTTTCCAAAAAAATTAGAATCAAATTGATATATTTTTTATAATTTGAGATATGATTATAATAGTGGAACAGTGTTAGTTTTGGATAGAGATTTGATAAGTCTCATGAAGTTTTTTATAGTTGAATTATTGATTTGTATATGTGTCATGGTCAAAGTTGTTTCTATTCTTAGCGGAGAAAAAATTATCTTCCTTTTTAAGTAAGAATGCCGACCGATTGGGGGGTAGAGTTGAGCCGAGGGATGTGTTAGGCAAGAGAGCAAAAGTGGTGAGGTATAGCCGAGGGCTTGATCTAGGGTTGCTTTGCGAGAGCTTGGCTGATTTATAAGATAGGGGTAGTTGCTAAGCGTTGTGGTGTTAGGCATAGCTTTCGGTTTTTGTGATGCCAAAGGGGTAAGAGAGTGAGGATGCCGAGAGGGAAATGCGGTGCTGAGGGCATTGCTACCCTAGGATGAGGGGGATTTGTTTGTGAGGCCGAGAGCATATCAATGAGAGAGGGAGATAATAGCCGAGAGCCTGAAGTGAGTTTGAGGGATAAAACCCAAGCGCTCGACCTCTTGGGCTTTTAAAACCCAATTTGCCGAGCTAGGAGCTAAGAGATAATCAAGATTGTTAAGGGTGAGGCCTAGCTCTCGGATTTTGAACACTCTTATCATTTTTTATTTGTTTAATCAATGTCGAGAGCCTAGGTATTCAAGCCGAGGGGCTTCTTAGCACCTGAGTGGCTGAGGGCTTTGAGGTGCTATGCTGATAGGGTAGGAGGCCGAACGCCCAGCTATGCGGGCAACCTTGCATGCCGAGCACCTAGCTAGGCAGTAGCCAAGCAGGCCGAGCGCCTAGCATGGTGGGCAGCCTTGCATTCCGAGCGGATAGATACTAGGCTGAGGGATGCTAAGGGCCTAGATTTGACCGAGGGGTAGGCTAGACATACCACGGCTGCTTGTGCTAAGCGCTTAGGGGTTTGTTGTATGGATACGTGCTAAGGGCATTGCTTGAGGGTAGGCCGAGGGAGTAGTAGGAGGCTGAGGGCCTCGACTTGTTAGCTGAGGGATTCGAGGTGCTATGCCAAGGGGTGATGCCGAGGGGGTTTTCGTGCCTTGGGTCATGCCTAGCTGAGACACTTGATGGGTGCTGATTTGCCGAAGGCTAGGCATGGGGTAGTGTAGGAAATTTTTCAAACTCAACCTTTTAAGCCCCAATGTGTTCATGATTTTAGGCATG